ACAACTCAAGACATGATAGATCATACCGGATAAAAGTAGTCCCCAAAAAATAGAACTAATGTGCAGCTATGGTCATCATGATGATGTTCATCAAATAGATAGAGTCAAATATGTGAGGAGTTTAAATGATCTCACACAGTTATGCTCTGATTCCATGGTAACTTTGAGATATCGTTCACAATTCAGGAATTTTGTCATTTTCTTCTCTCAAGTCCCTCGTCTGCTCAGGCCTTTATAGTTCAGCAGTTTGTTAGAAACGAGTAATTATTAATATTAGTTTTTTTTTTATTTGATAAAAGACAAATTCCCGCATTAGGAATAATCCTGTGTCCCTGTGTCCCGCGGGGGACTTTACAAACATACATGAAACGGACACAAAGAACACCCAGGAACTCAGAACAACAATTTGTGGATCACACAAGTGTCGTCCCATGTGGGGGTTTGAACCCACAACACTCGGCGTAGTAGGGAAAGCGGCGTGGCGACCGCTTAAACCACTACGCCATCCGTGCAGTTGGATTTGGGTTTCAATTATTGTATTGGGGAATTTAAGGCAAGCTGTTATACCTAGTATGGCATCTATAGCAGTCCCATCATAGCAATAAGGTTATCACCTACAGGTTCATAAATTTGTCTGGGAATTGTACTTATCACAATTACCCTCGCTTTTTTCATCATTGATAGTGAGTGATGTAATTTTTTATGATAAATTGTACATTTTGATTATTCCTATGAACTAATGCCATGAATGCTGCAGACTAACAAGTTAACGGACCTATTTAGGGATTTGAGAGTTAATCCTTTGTTGTGTTAAGATAATGCATTATTAGTGTTGCTGTGGGTGCAGTCCTCTATGTATTTACATAAAGGTTTGGTAACAAGTTTCTCTCAGAGTTGGTGTAAGAAAAATAATCTGTCAGTTGTTCAGGGATAATAATATTCTATAATATTCTACCACATTCACTCCACGCCATTTACATATAATATATAGAAACAAACCCCGAACCAAATAAAACATTAAATGTTTATGCACACAAATGTTTGTCTTGAGCGGGCATCGAACATGCGACCTTTGGAATTGCAGTCTGTTACACAAAAACCTCTAAAATCCATCCGGCCATCAATGTTATACAAAACCCCCTTTCATATTAGTAAAAAAAAAAGTTGTTTAAAAAAAATAATTTTTTTTTCTTCAAATTTATTAAACAGAAAAGTTCTTTATTTAGCTGTATGAGTAGAAAACTGTTTACCTACAATGATTCATCATAATGTAAACACAATGAAGTAGCTGACACTTTTATTAATTATTTTAACATCAGATTCAGTTTCAAAACTTCAAAATACTTTGAAGCAATAACTTTTGATATGTTGCATTGTATTTAGGTGACCAACAACATACATTGTATCCTACTGCTGTTACGATACTTTGCATGGCATTTTTTTGGCAAAATTTTGTATTTTAATTGAAAATATATGCAACTTCAGTGTACTGTATTTATATACACACCATAGACATAGATTATGGGCCGCACTTTGCGTTCCTTCCACTGCATAACTGACTACGGAACGAACAGAAAGTGAAGACAGGACCTACAAGTATAAGAGAGACAAAGCGAATGTGCGGCCAGTAGTTGTCTCTTTCTAGCATTCTGATTAGTTCATACATTATGTTGGTTAAGTTAAAAGAAAAGTAACTAAATCAATTACTTTTTTATTTTAATATGTATACTACCGTAATAAGTAAAAAATAAGGCTTGCAGAAAAGAAACGGGTATTGGCTGCACAGTCGCTTTGACTCTTTCCTAGAGAGTGGTTACTTATGATATTGTTTATATTGTTTATATCATAAGTAACACTCTCTACGTACATACTGTAAAAAAAAACACCGTTTAACAACTTAAACAACTCTTTGGTCTACTTTCATATATACATATATGTATTTATGTGTATAATAAAACAGCTGGCAAAATTTTAATATATAGAATTATTAATTTAGGTATGATGTGGAACAGCCATGACAAAGCAAGCTTGCATATTACTATAGAAGTTAGAATGTTACTAATAAAGCGAAATTTACATAAATTAAAACATAAACTGCTGCCCAATGGGAAGGCTGTGGACAGGCAGACAGGGTTCAGACGTCTTAATAACAGTTGTTCCCGGTTTCTCTCCTATTTCAAGTGCTGATTGGCACACCGTGTGGTTTTAGTTGGTTCGATTCCAAAACACCACCACCCAAACATAAGGGTTAGACAGGAAGGCAATTTTACCAACTTTTGTTTTAGTCCTAGTTAGTAATTTTGCCGTAAGAATATTGCCGTAAACAGACACTATTGGGGATAGGGGATATTGCTTTTATGCATATATCGAAGAATGTTTTAATATCTGAAGCATATCAGGGTCAGAAATCTACAAGTTGTATTTCTGAAAAGTCTGAGCTTTGTTTCCAAAAAATAAATAGGTACTACAGAACTTATTAAGAGGAACATAAGTAACTGCAGTTATCCCCATATAAGTTCAAATGACTTGTTTTATTGCAATTATTGTTCCATAGCATGTTTCGCTGTGCTGTTTCATCTGCTTGCGTGCTTTAGTTCTTGTATAATTTAACTTTTAGATTATAATTTTCTTTTTTAATATTGTTATACTCATTCCTTGTCTGCAAAAATATTTATTTGGGTTTTTATTATAAAAATGTAAGTATATAAATTAATTGATCCCAAAACAAAAATAATTATAGTTGATACTGGTGGTTAATGGAACAGAATGTTTTATTAAATTCTTCAATAATTACATTTAAATTTTGGTATTGGTATGATTTGGAGAGAGTTGCAGTACATCAGTGTCCGCCTGGTTTCTATTGATGCTGGTGCGCAGATATTTCGTAATTGTTAATATTTTTTTTCAACTTTTCTCTTTTCGTACTTGTGTGAACGAGACAAGAAAAGGGAGAAAGAAAGAGAAAGATTTTTGATTATTCGTATTATGTTACTGAGCGGTAGAATTCATGTCATTGTAGCATGGGAAGTACTAAACTAAGCTTTGGCGACATCGGTTTAAATAAAGGTCTTTATAGCTGCAGCGAGAGACCTTGGCTTGTGGTCATGCTATCACTCTTACATTGTCATTTTTTATATGCAATAACTAGCTACTGCCGACGACTGCGCTCGCGTAATTATGTCTAACTTTGGAAATAACTTCCATACAAGTGTTTATACCTTATTCTACTCCCTTAGTGGTGAAATTTCCAAAAAACCTTGGTGGTACTTACAAACAAAAAACAGTATCTGCCAAAATTTGATGATGATGGTTTTCCTTAGGAAGGTTGGTTGTTTGGAATAGGGTTTGTTTCAAGAGTTCCTTCTCTTTGCAGTGCTGTTGTCCTGCGTAGTTTATCTCCCTTAGTCGGCTTTACGACATCCGCGGGATGAATAGGGGTGGGTGACCATCTGTATTCTGTAACAACACCACTACACGGACAATTTTTTTTCATAAATATATAATTAGTAGACTTGCAACGAATATTCGGTTACTATTCGGTATTCGGCCTATTCGGCTGCTTTTATTATATTCGGCCGAATACCGAATATCTACATATTATTCGGCCGAATACCGAATACTTAAATAATATATTTTGTCATTGAGAAATAATTGGTAAAATGAAAAATTAAAATCGATATGATTACGTATATATTCATATTTTTATTTCTGTTATAATCATTTATGTAGTCATTGGTGCATAACACAGGTACATAATCATCTTCTGAATTGGAAAAATGGAGGATTCTATGTATTTGAATTATTGTGGTAATCAAAATTTAGAAGGGTAAGGTTTTCATTTCTTTCATAATCATTTATTAAGTAGTCATTGTTACATAAAACAGTTACATAATTTAATTCACGTCTGTACAAGTTTTGGCCGCTAAAATCCAGCCGAATACTTTTGCCTAATATTCGGCTAATTCGGTCAGGGGCCTCGCCGAATATTCGGTATTCGGTATACTGCCGAATATACTATTCGTTGCAAGTCTAATAATTAGTAAAAAAATGGCGCTGAGCGTAATTAGTTTTAGTTTTCGTCATTTTTTTTTAAACCAGATGCGACTATAGCTGCGTTTTTGACTTTGTTGAATAATATATATTGTATCAAAACTATCCCCTTTTAATTAATACTTAGTAGATGCAGCAAACGGTAACTTAATTTGTAAGCTTTGCCCATCGGTTCTGTATCAGGCTCTCACACTTAAAATGCTGTGCTCGAAAATAGGATAGCGTGTAGCCCATAATCCACAATGCTGGCATATTACGATAAACAATCAAGTATCCTCGCTATGTATTATCTAATATGGAGGGTGTAGGCTGATCCTGTCACGTTTGGTAAGGTTCATAAAACAATCCGAGGACCTACTGTGTAATGTGTTAGCAACATCATAACTAGTTTACCTCTCCTTGGCTTTTTAATACTGTTCTATCGTTAATCTGTTGATTTAGCTGTAAGGCCTCCATAGAACCAACAAATAAATAATTTATTTGTCATAGTAGGCCAAACCTACTTTCTAAGGAGAAACCTATGTCCAGCAGATGACTATTAAAGCCATCATAACTAAGATTGCTGTTCGATACACCATTACTCTCTTAGCGTGCTCATAACAAAAGCCGGCACACACACGCTACGGTTTACCGGTGAGGTCTAGACCACAGCGTGTATGGCAACGGCCTGTGCATTTTTTTGTATCAGTGAAAGGTTGAACTATCAATGGTGCCCTTAGCAGTAATCATTGTTAATTAATACATCATTCGTGTTTTATTTTGTTCCACATTTATTTGTTAATATTATTGCCACTTATTGTTGACGCTCTATATAGTTGTTTACAAAAATGATAATAAGTACTGTGTGTTTGTTTTATTGATTATTTTCTAATATATACAGGATGATGAACGGCAGTTCGTAGACCTGACGACCTTCGGGTTCTTCAGGGGGTGGCGTTCTTGATGTGCAGATGGTGAACTTTCATGATGCCCTCCGGTCCTGTGTATGGAGAGGTAAGAATTATCAGAAAGTGTTTTGTGAGAAGTTCGCACATCTCAATTACTAGACTATTACATCTCAATTACTAGACTATTCTATGATCAAATCTATATTCATCTATAATATTATTTACTAGCTGTACCCTAGTCATGCTTTGCTGTGTACATTCAAATTGCATGAATGGAAAAGTGGGAAACAAAATTCACTCTCGCAAATACTCGTAGATAGATAAAAACCGTCCTTGAAGCAGTTGGTTTATCGTGTCAAAATTTGAGCTCAACGGTGCAGAACTTGTTAAGTTTTTGAAGCGTACCTACTTAACATTTTTATAGATATAGATTCTTTGTCCAGGTCAAACAAATTACATACCATTAAAATACACAGAAATTTAATAATTAAATATTAATGTGTATACTTATGTTGTATTTTAACCGTATTACTGATAAAAAAATACGTATACTGCTTTCTACACTATTGTAAGAGAAGGAAACTGAAGAAAAAACGGACTAGAATCTATTAATGCTCTTGACTTTACTCTTCGATGTATGGATTTTTTATTATTATATTAAATCCTATGAAATACTAGCTTTTGACAGCGACTTCGTCCGCGTGGTGATCGACATCGTAGAGGAACGCTACTACTCAAAAATAACGAAGTTTCATATAAACTTCAAACCCCCCACTTCGAACCCTTAGGGGCGGCATTTTTAAAAATTCTTAGTCACCTAAAGAACTATCGTACAAAATGTTATGCTTCTAGAGGAAGAAAATTTTGGACGATAGTTTTCTTCAACGCACAGTTGTCAATATTTCAGCTGTGCGTTGATCGATCAATCACTGAGTCAGTCTGACAGTTTCTTCTTTTGTAGATATAGATAAATAGATTAGTCCGTGTGGTGACGGATTAAGAATACAGATTTGTCACCACCCCTATTCATCCGCCTATTCATTCTATTTGCCGGCCGCTGCCACCCGCAACGGACGTATGGCCCGAAGCGGCGACGATGGCTTTGCCCTCGCATTTTAAACCTCTAATATCTTCTAAAATATTCATTTTTATGATATGCTGTAAAGATCAATTTTAATCTACATTAAATTCACAACTTATCTAATGCATTTAATTGGATAAGGGATAATAATGTATTGTGTAAAATAGCTATATAATAAAAATAATGGGTTATATACGAATATAACCCATTATTTTTTTGTAGTATTTAAAAGATAAAAATGGTTACTGTGGGTTATCCTTAGGAGATAGACATATACCATGGCGGGCCTTTTATGTAGATCTTTTTGAGATATACAATTCTGTAATATGCATATATTTTACATATAAACCTTCCTTTTCAATCACTCTCTCTATTGGTGAAAATTGCATTAAAAGCCTTTACTTAGTTTAAAAGGATCTAAGCGTACAACAAAAAAAACGAATTTATTTTATACTATGATGATATGGAATAGTATGGAAGTACAGATTTGTCCATACCTGCAGTAGACTTCCTTCGTTTAAAACTATTTTGTAATATAAATCAATTGATTAGAATTTACTACTATTTAATATAATCGATGTACCAGCTTTTGAGTACTAATACGAGCATTCATTGTTTTAGTATGGCTTCATACTAGACCGGACTATAAACGCCGCCATCAGCCCATACTTGGCCCAAACCAACACCGCCACCTGCTTCTTAAAAAAACAGCAACAACAGCAGCCCTCGCCGCAGCATCCAGCCATCATCACATTGAAGATGGACTTAAGAATCTCAGATTAGACGTGACGTGTAAAGCGAAAAGTGTTACATCTTTACCAGAACAAATCTGTTATACCTGCATGTAAGTTTACCAGAATATCTTTCAGTACTATACCCTTTACGGTTACTCTTCAGCATCAGAGATGTTACCGTACTTTTATACTCCATAATGTGCTGCATAAACCACTTCCCAGTATTGCAAAGATCATCACCTAACCTTTTCACAAATTTATTTGGGATCGGCGCTACGTGTTCTATTCTTCCATTCTCTTTTATCATTCGTTAGTGTACTACTTATTCCTTCTTTATAGCCATATCTTATTTTACACAGTTTAGCCATCTTTTCATTTCTGTTCTCTACTTTATCATTCCAAGCTCTTTACCAGAATTTTGTCCATCATTTCCATCACAAGTTCATACCACGAAAATCTATTGGTACTCAACTTTTTATTCATTGACGTTATCCAGTCTTTCAAATCTATTCATTTCTCACCTTGTCCATCCGTGCTTCTATGCATCTCTCATCTGTTCTCTTTTGTTGGCCAAAATTTAGATCTATACAGACTTGTGGCGACTTCCACATACGATTAAACAAAGAAACATACAACAGCGCCGTCTAACTTTATTCGTTCGTTCGTAATTCGTTAACGATTGTATAATAACCTATACTCGTACAACCTTCCGATTTATAAAATGATTTTTAATTCAATTTTGCGCGAGTGTGTCAATCTTAAGTAGTTCTTTGTTTCGCTGTTAAATCAGTAACTTTTATGCATCCACACGTCTTTGCTACTAAGAGATTCTTACATGATTTTAATAGTTTTATTTTATTTTCTATTAAAACCTTTGATTTGATTGTTAAATAGGAATATTTATATTGTACACTGCTTCAAAGAGTAGGAAAGACTTAATACAAACCTCCTTTCTAAGGAGAGGCCTAGGTCTGGCTTATTACTATTAAAGGCCGTTGCTGTTGACTAGCCTATTGGTATAGGGGTTAGTTATCTGGACCGTTGTCCAAAAGGTTCGATTCCCGCCTAGAAAAAAGGAAAAATATTATTTGAACAATTATTTCTGGTTCTATTTCGAATGTGTGTTTTAACATCCAATGTATTGAGAAAATACAAAATTATTCATCAGCAGCCTGGTTCAGATAGAAACAGGCCTACTAGGCAAGTTTGAGATCCAAACCGCCGGGGTATGTCACTGTATAAAATTATTATTATTTTCCTGATCATCATCATCATCGCCTAATCGCAGTCCAACTGCTGGGCATAGCCTCTCCCACGCCATTTAGATCGATTTTGGGCTTCTCGCATCCAGCTCCATGTATATCTTGTGTAATTCTCTTAAAGGTAAATACACTTTCTCCTACAAAATCTTAACAAATGTTATCGCTCCACAGATCCTCCGAAAGGAGAGATAATGCATGTACAGCTTCCTGCCATGACAAAAGCAGACCAGGAACGGATTTGACTACTACAACACAAGTGTAAGTATCCCATCATAATTTTTTTTAATTACTTTTAAGTGGTGTAATAGATAGGGGCTTAAAAAGAGGGAACATGGGGTTCCCACACGGGGGGGGGATCGTCTACTCGTCTGTAGATGGCCCGAGGTATGTCGGGGCACCAGGGACTTCTTCTAGGGTATAACCTGGTTCCCCAGCTATTAGTACCCGAGACGGCGTGCGGTTTAGTCGGTTCGTGTCCGACATGCCATCGATAGGTGGTATCCGCGGGGATTTCCGCACGGAAAAAAAAGAAAAAAAGGGGCTTAAAAGAAGTATTCGAAATTATTCGACATTATTTAAAATGTTATTGTTTTATGTGAATTTACTGGGGTGGGCACTGTTTAATATGATCTGTGGTACTTTATATCATCATCAGCCTATCGCAGTCCCCTGCTGGACATAGGTCTCTTCCACTGCACGCCACTTAGATCGATTTTGGTCTCTTTAGATTTATATGATTATGTTTAGTTCTCTTAGGTCTATCATTTTCATGAGAGAGACAGTACTTCTAGTTATAAATTGACTCTTTTTCTATTTAAACAAGAAGGCAATTACATTTTATACATACAAAAAGGTTATCTACAAGCAAACGTATTTATTATCATGCCAGACATTTATTTTTTATTTATTTTATTTATTTTTATTTTACAATCTTCATGCACTTATGTACATCGGCGGACTTAATGCCCTGGGCATTCTCTACCAGTCAACCTTTAGGTGGTGTAGAAATCTTGTAGGGTAGGTGCACCGAGGTTACGATTGTAATCAAATTTATGTTTTGCGTAATACATGAGTTCTTAGGCTAACAATGTCCCCCGCCAGCAATCATTGCTGCAATGCTTGGCGGGTGAGGAGGGCTGGAGCGCGGTGGTCTCTTTCTGCTTAAAGATGTAATAGTCCAGTAAGAGACCGGCTGAACAGAATCTTGAGAGGGTCGATCACGAGCGTAAAGGACGTCGGTGGCGATATAGCCGCCTACGGGGCCACAGACTACCAGAGATACCTACCTCTAGTGGCAGATTAATTACTGCGGTGGGCGATAGGAATGGCGGCCTGGTCGCAAAAATGCGATTGGCCGCCATCGGCCCTGGGATAGGACCTGGCTAGGCGTGAAGTCGATCCCGAGAGGACTTAAAGTGACATGGTCTGGGTTCTACCCAGAGTAGGGCGCCTGAGACCGGCTGTTTGTGGTGGTTTTTAGTGGAAATATTACACACTCCTGACTCCTGTCTCCCCGACAGGATCCTGAGATCAGAAGGAATATTCCACTCGGTCAGAAGAAAAAGGGCTAACAATATCAGGCTGTGGTCGGAATATTTAGTTAGGCTTTTAATAACAGCACTTCCTTAGTTCAGCGAACTAAACTTAAAAGGGGAAATCCCGTGGTTGTAAATTCATAGTTCATATTTAATTCAACTTACGTTGTCACCAGGAAAAACTACGACATAAATAATTCTTTACGAAACCATTCAGTGGTTACTTATGCTGACTTATTAGAAAACAAGCTGAAAAATAATTGAAATAATAATATAATTGAAATAATGAAAAATAATAAATAAAAATAAAAAAACTGAAACACTGCGTGAAAATGTCATCATCGTCATCTTCTTACCATTTTCTTAAATAATAATAATATAAATATTAATATTTTTATTTGTCAATAAAGTTACACATTATAAAACAGAAACGAGGCTCATATAAATTACTAGCTGACCCGGAAAAACGTGGTTTTGCCAAAAAAAAAAATTTAGGGATGGGCTCACCCTTACCATTTAGGGGTATGAAAAATAGATGTTGGCCGATTCTCAGACCTACCCGATGTGCACACGAAAATTTCATGAGAATCGGTCAAGCCGTTTCGGAGGAGTACGGGAACGAACATTGTGACACGAGAATTTTATATATAAGATGTATTACTGTTAATAAACGCTGATTTCTAAACTAGGTTTAATACCCATAGTTTAGAAATCAGTGCCTCTGTTGTTTTTTGATACAATACAAAGCCATTATGTTGAGATTAAAAAAAACATAAAAGTAACATAACATTTAAGAAAATAATAATAATAAAAAAAGTTACACACACACACAATCTAACTAATATAATCATATTAGTTAGATTGTGTGTGTGTGTGTGTGTGTGTATGTGTTTGTGTATATGTGCGTGTATATATGTAAGTGTGAGCATGTATGTAAGTGTGTGATTTACTATTTCTAGCGTCCCAGTAGAAGATCCTCAGTGTTAGGATAATCTAATTTAAGTAGATATTCTTTGAGTATATTTTTACATTGGTATTTATTTTTTGAGTATATACCAAGAACATTATTTACTGCATTCTGCATAAAAAAAGTTATGTAAGATATCTAAGTGCTCGTGAATACATAACTTTCAAGACTGTGCTCTGTGCTCTCTCCAGCCGAATGAAGAGTTTACAGACCGGTGTGACACCTCACAAACCAGAATCCATCAAACCGTATAGACTACAGAGCGTGTCAAAGCAATATACATACATACAAAATACACAGATACACTCGAAAAACATAACACTCATTTTGGTGCAGACGGGTAATAAAATACCACATTAGTAGCACACATTTCAAATATAAGAAAACATATGTGATAAATTAATATGTAGATATAATATTTAAATGTCCGTTTTTCATATAACACTAGCGATCCGCCCCGGCTTCGCACGGTTGCAATGTAGATACTACTGATGTGGTGTCAGTGTGGAGTAATTAATTATACTATTTTTATGATAGGACTATACTACAGGGCCATTTTTAAATGCAATATTTATAGGCCCGCTCCGACCCTGCTCGACGGCCGTTGAGCCCCCGCTTTTTAAATCTCTAACATCTTTTAAAATACTCATCGTAATGATATGCTGTAAAGAGCAATTTTAATCTACATTAAATGCACAACGTATCTAACGTATTTAATTGGATAAGGAATAATAATGTCTTGTTTAAAATAGCTTCGTAAATAATGCTTTTTTTTGTAATAATTAAAAGATAAAAATGGTTACTGTGGGTTATCCTGAGAAGATAGACATTATCATCACTGACTTTTTGTAGATCTTTTCAGATATACAATTCCGTAGTACATTATTTTGGTCTATCTCGTAAGGTTTATCTAGCGTTTGCAATGTAAGCGCACAAAAACATGCTTTTTTACGACAAATCTTTGAAATTCTCCTATTTTCTTTACTATAATATGCATGTATTATACATGTTAACCTCCCACATGAATCACTCTCCCTATTGATAGAAACCGGTGCTTAGTTTAGAAGATCTAAGCGTAAACAAAAAAGCTACTTTATTTTATACTATGTAATTATCATCATCATCATCATGAACAGCCTTTAATAGTCCACTGCTGGACATAGTGCCCTCTCCTTAGAAAGGAGGTTTTGGCCTACTATACCACGCTGGCCAGACGGGTTGGTATAGGGTTTTTTTCAAGTTTTCCTTCTCTTTTCAGTGCTGTTGTCCTGCGTAGTTTTGCTCCCTTAGTCGCCTCTTACGACACCCACGGGGTGAATATGTAATTATAGGAAAACTTTAATCAAATAACTCTGGTTTTCTGGTCGAGGTGTCACTCCCATGTGTGATATTTGTCTGCGCCTCGTTTTATTATTACTTGGTTCGATATATTACTTCTCGTATAAATGACATAACTTTAAATGTTAATTTGACGATTATTAAATAATTTGATGACATTAAAGTAAGTTTAGACGACAGTTTGCCCACTACTGTTAAGTTGTTTTAGGCTATACTTGCCGAAACAATACATTTTGAGCGTAGGCATCTACCCAATTGTACTAGTAAAAATTGTAGTATTTGGTACCTAACCTACTACTACTTGGCTTGTAATTATGATAAACTTATTCTCGCCTTTTTTCTCATGTCGGCAAACTCCCGCTTTAGGAATTTATCCTATGTCGCGGGGGATTTTACAAACATACATGAAACGTACACACACAGACTCAGAACAAAAATTTGTGAATGAACACAAAGTGTCGTAGTAAGCGTAGGAGTAGTAAACGGCGAGGTGACCGCTTAAACCACTACGCCATCTGGCCATATAAAAGTCCAGTCTTCAAAGAGTGAAAATATTAACTGTAAAATAAACTTATCTATATTATTTGTGTTGTGTGATGTTGTGATGCATTCTTCTTCACCGAGCCTTATACCCAAACTAGGCTGGGGTCGGCCTTAAGTCTACTATTATACGGCTGTACTTTGATTTTTTACGCAGACCCGACTGCGATTAAAACCTCCACAACTCAAGTACTAGGCGATATCGAAGTTCTGTAGAAAGACTTGGCGGATTTTTCTCGGCTTCAACGAACCGTAAATATTGCCACAGATGTTCGTATGGCAACCGGGACCGAAGGCTTGGTCCTCTGAGGCACGGAGAGGTCTCAAACGTGTTGAGAAATTGTCACCCATCCATAGACCTGGGTAGAATTGCTTAACTTTTTGGGAAAGTATTTAATTACTCGGTTTCCACGTAGCCACGACCACACAAACGTTATGAGCATGTGTGATGCATTCATAGTGAATAAAGAAGACTACATAAGCGTAGCCTCCGTTTTAGCGGACGGAAGTTTTTTGATAAACCGCGGAGACTTGTGGTGTTTTCTGACTGACGTGTCAACTTCTGCCCGTTAATCAAGTGTCGAGCCTATATGTAACCCCGGGGTTCTTTACCACAGGACTCAGAGGTATAATTACTTTGTTGTAAACACTGGGGGGAAATGTCCGCCATATAACATATATTTTATATGACCTATATTTATGAAAACGTGTTTTATTGCTATAAATATAGTCATGATTGCTTTAACAAAATAAAAATAATTTATTATTTACGGAATTACCGAAATACCTTTGAATTGCCTGACGTTTTCGACCAGGGCCTCAATTCTGCTATTTTAATATTGTATCAATTGACTGTTGATTAACTCTCATCGGAATAG